TTTTTGGATGGAGGCCAGGGGAGGCGCAAGGATGTAAGAAGGCAAGGAGGCAGGAAGGCGTTGGGGGCGGCGGCTCAAGTGGCAAGGCACTTCATCATGCCGCCTAATCATTTGACCCACTTGAGAGTTGTGCAAATACTTTTTACGTTGGCACAAACGTCCTATCCTAGGCTGCTCTCCTGCTCTCCCACTCGCACACACGACGACACACAGGACACATGAGCTGGTCTAATCCTTTCAAATGTCGGAGTCGCAGTTGGAGACACAGAGCCAGAGGGAGAGCGAGGGAAAGGGAGACGGGGCTGAGGACGATGAAAGGGACTGAGGCAAGACAGGAGACGGCGACGGAGTCTCTGGCAATTTTGCATGCATGCAGCAATCATTTGGTCACACTAAGAGAAAGCTTTTCGATAAGTAATTTGAAATCGATAGCAAACGATAAATGAATTGTATAGTGTTTGCGAATGTAAGAAATTTGAATATTTATACATTAATTTGTATGTTAATTTATTTATATACATATTTAATACTTTTGATTTGAGAAACATATTTTTATAAGTTTCACATATCAGTTTTAAATGAATGCAACACTCATTTGGTCAAACTTAAATGAATATTTCTCTTTGAGGTAATTAATAATCGATAACAAATGATAAAAAGAATAGACATTTAGAATATTTAAAGCAAGAAATGTTTCTATATTTCAATAACTTCTTCTATTTTATTGAAAACCGCAATCATCTTGCTTATATAATATAATCAAGATCAAATTAGTTACAAAATTTAATTTACAAAGAATTTCGAGTTTAAATATCTAATTACTTTATTGAAGATACATTTTCCTTTGATATTATGTACAAAACTGGGTCGTCACCGTAGGTTTTCCCGCAGTGCAGAGGGAAAATCGGTAAAGGGTGGTGCACAAGTGAAGACAAGGAATTTGGAAAATCTCAGCTCAGTGTCAGGTTGCACGTTGAAAATTTGTCGTCATCGTTTCTCGCACACAAAAATGGCGTTAAGCATAGAATTTTGCTAGGACAAGGTGAAGGGAATAAGGTGGGGCCACCCGGAATGGCAATGAACGGTTCCGGGGGGAGGACTACTACTTCTACTTCAACGGAATACGGACTACGGACTACGGACTACGGACTCCAGACTACGGACTACGGACTACGGACTAAGGACCCGGGCCAAAGACAAACACATCACTGAAAAGAGAGGAGTTGAGGCAAGACGATGGAAAGAGAAGAAGATACTTGGCTGCGGCTCAAGGATAAGGCAAGAAATAATAAATTATATTTTCCGTGATTTGTGTTCGCTGCCTTGAAGCATTCTCTTTCTCCATCCCATTTCTCACTCACTCTCTCTGTGTGTGTGTCTCTTCTCTGTGAAATTATTTTGCAAAATTTACTTTTGCCTTGAAAAACCGAAAAACAACAATAGAAATTATTCAACTACAAGTACTTTGAGGTTGAACCCGCCTTGAGTTTTGGTTTCTGAATGAAATGCCATTTAAGTTAGCGGGAAAGCCGAAGAGAACCACCATTCGCTCACTGGAAAACGCAATGCGCAGAGAGCGGGAAATTCGTGAAAAATCCAAAGAGTAACGATTCTCTTAGGCCCTGCCAGGGTTGTCAGCTGCATGATTTTCAATTAAACCTTTGATAAATGTTTTCTGAGGTATGCCGCTCAAGTATCTGAGTTTTCCGGGGGAAGGTGCAGTAGCTACCCTTCTTCATAGGCGTGTGTGCTGCAATAGTTCCCATATTTCCACATGACTTGCCACTTTCGAGGCCTTATTAGTTGCGCTTTTAAGAACGTTTAAAAGGCTCTGATCCCAGCCCCGGAGGGGGTCAGAGAGTTCATTCCTAGATAAACATATATGTATATAGAGAGTCGTCTTGGATAAACATAAATGTGAAACTGGACGCGTGGCAAATTTAATTTCAAATCGAAGTTTTTAGCTCCGTCACCGGGGTTTGGCGTCTTAACTGCAAGTCATTGTCAAAGCGAAACGTAAACCAAATTGCATTTTCTGCGGAAATTTGTACGGGTTGTGAGAGCTTTTCATTTGGGGGGTATTTCGTGAGTGCAATGGGTATGTTGCATTAAAGCAAAAGGTGGAAGTGGAGAATGTCATTGAACTTGGTAAATCAATAACAAAATATTAATTATTAAAATAATGCAATATTTATTGAAGCTCAAATCTCCGATAGAACAAATTTTTAAGGATTTTGTAGTGAACTACAAAGTAATAATAAAGTAAAGTATTATTAAATTAGATTAATATTAATATAATATTCAATTAACTGATAGTTAAATACACCAAAAACAGAAACACGACACCAGGCTTTCTATGGTCGAGGCAGATTATTTTTAAATATATTAGACTTCACTCAAGTTGAAAACTGGAAAATATATCAAGTTTACAGGCTAATCATTAAGTCTTAATTCAACATTATAGATATATTAGAGATTTCTGCTGCTTCCAAAAGTATGCAATGATTTCTTGGAATAAAGCACCAGGTATTCCACAGTCGAGACATCGTATTCGCTGCATTTTTTTATACCACCGCTTGTGATTCTGGCATTGGGATTAGCACAGAGAAAAATCGTATATAAGTGGCAACAATTGTCAAGCAGATGCAGCAGGAGCAGCAGCAGCATCAACACAGCAACAACCCCTGGAGTTGAACCCGAAAAATGAACCCGAAACCTCTCCCTCGTACTCCTTGGCTCTCCTCCTGGTTGTCCTCTGGCAACCGCAACAATAGCAGCAACAACACCATTATGACAATGTGTGACTGCAATGGCAATGACATTTCTCCCTCACTCCCTCTCTCTCTTTCCCGCCGCCTCTCTCCTGTCTCTGTCGCGCACATTGTCTTGCCTGGCTCATTTTTCACATATTTTTCGCAAAGTTGAAACTATTTTCGGAACGCACTGGGGTTGCTCTTGGCTGTAGCTCCTTTTATTATAGTTTTTGTTGCTGTCAGGCGACAGGCACTCGAAACCGTTAATTGGTTTTATTTTTAATGATGTTTAGGCGAGACGGTACTGTGGGATATAGCGGGGTATATGTATGTAGCATGGGATAAGCGAAAGCCGACCCACGCTCGCTCGCCTGCAATTATTTATGTAAATTCTGGGCGTTGCACTGACGTGATTTATGTCGCCTTTCTTTTCATCGGTCGGAGTTTACTGTAAAAACAATTAAACAGCTAATTGACAGGGCTGCTTAAGAGATATAGTACTATATTTATGGGCAGGAAAAAGGAAGAGAGAAGTGGAAATAGGAGCCAGCAGCGGGTCAATTGATTTCGGTAGCTGTCTCTGTAATGAAACCCTGAGGGGCCTCTTTCAAGTGGAGTGCTCCCGGAAGCGGGGGTTAAGTCAATATTTTAAATTGAGATTTATTTTGGTATATATAAACAACAAGAGCTGGTCAAAAATTGTTGGGAAAGGTTCATAAAATACTGGGGAATTATTGAAAATAGGATATTTTGTGAGTTTTTATTAAAATTCTTTGAAAGATAATTGGAAAGACGTAGAAAAAGGTTTTGCCATAGCTTTTTTTTGGCAAGAAATTTTTATTCAGAACTTGACTAATTACAAAAGACTTTAAATGTATATTAATCGCTCATTATTTTACCAATTAGAATGCCCACACAAAGGAACTCCCAACTATTTAGTAGTGCGCCTAGTGTCCTTCGCCGTGCGCAGAACCCTTTCACCTGCACTCGGTTTTGGCCCAACAGGTGTGTCCTTGTCGTAGGGCACAAAAACACCGGTCGCTCCGTCCTTCAGTCTATCAGTCCCGTCAGCCTGCGTCATTCCGTCCAACTGTCATTCTGGCAGTGCGTCACTTCGGAGCGATTCAGTGCACATTAACACCCCAGGCCGAGACATAATTTATAAGCAAATGCAGTTAAGTTTCCTCTGGAGGATCTCGGGAGCCGGCAAATGGTGATGATGAGATTGAGATACTGGGCAAATCCCACAAATGCCGCCAAACAAAACCAAGCCGGCAGCTAAGAGAGAGAGAGAGAGAGAGGATGGATTCTCTACGAGACACAGAGAGAGCCACAAGGCGCAACTCTCTGAATACTCTCTCTATCTCTCTGGCTGGAAGTCGTATAACAGTCGGGGTATAACACACGATGCTGAAATGTATCTCGCGGATATCCTCGCTGGGGACATCCGTTAGTTTGCGAGCGTTGGTCGTCAGCATCGGACGTGCGTCGTGGCATATATCCAAATATAAATATTTTGTCAGAGGGAAATCGCTGCGTAAAAATATTCCTCGGAAAAATCCTCCAGGGGGGCGGTGGTAGTAGTAACTTTTTCGCGACAACAACTAGACAGAATAGCCGCGTATCGGGAAAGCGGAAAGCACCCCATTAGAGAAACTCATTTAAAAGTTTTTGGGAGTGTGAAGTGTGCCGAGTGCGCAGACATGTCAAATATGCACAATAAATACGCGACAACACAACAACTGGGCAAACATCATTAATTGCTCGGACCGGTGAAGTGTGTGCCAAGTGTGTTCGATATAAATACGAGAAAAAAATAATATATATATATACATATACAAAATTAATTGCATTTCAAGCGTTCTTAAATACGCATCAATCGGCTGGATTTTCTGCGGTTTCATCCCGGCGAAACATAAACAACAAAAAAACGACCGAAAAACACTCAAGTGGAGGTGTTGTGAGTGAGTGTGCGAGTGTGCGGCCAGCGTTTCGGTGGGTCGCTCGCTTGTTGTGCGCGCAATTTCCGGTTTCCGCTTCCGCCGGAGCAGCGTCCGTGTCCGGCCGACTAGGCGCAACATTAATTTGCCAACGCCAACTCTGGAGTTGGACAAAAAATAAAAGAGTAATCACAATTCATAGAAAACATAACGAGGATCTCCCCCACAAGATAAACAAGACAGAAAAGTGCTAAATTTCCGTCGAAAAGAGAGTTCCAAGTCAAAATTAACAGTTCTTAATAAATTATTGGAAATAATTATAATAAATTCAACAAAAAAATATTTTAAGCGAATAATTCAACCAAGTCTTTAATAATTATCAGGTTAGTGTAAAATAACTTTTAGTAAAAGATATAATAAGACCTTAAATCAAGTTAAAAATCTAGTTTCACTTGTGAGCCCTGAGATAAACGTTCCATATTTATTTTTGGGGATTATGTTCCGCGTTTAATTTCATGCCCAGCGCCCAAAAGTATGCGGCAAGCATATTTCAGGCGTGGCAGGTTGTTGGCACAAGAAGCGAAATACGACAAAAGAAAACAAAACGAAAACGAAATGGAAATGGAATGACAAAAGTAATGCGAATGTGTGTGTTCTGGGTGTTCTTGGTTGGTTGCTTGTATGTGTGTGTGTAAGACAAGCAATAAAATGGCAAGCGAGCGCCAAGTTTTTGCGCGCCAAAAAGCATGCAACAACGCGAGTGGCAGCTATGTTTATGTGCCACATAAAACTAGCGCGGCCATGTCGCATTGTTGGCAGGACGGAACAAAGCAAAAGACAGTCAACACAGAAAGAAAATCTAATATGTTTTCTGTATATTATACTATTAAAAATTATTTTAAAGTGAGTTGAAGATTAAATAACTAACAAAATGGGAAGATTAAGTAATTTAGATTATTTAAATTTATTTGTAAAGCATACATATTTAAAAGTAGTTATTTGATAAATATGATTTTTGAGCCGTTCAAAATTTAAGTAAAATAAAATGCTAATATTTATTTTACGTAAATATCAGGTTATTAAATTATAAACCTAAATCAAATAGTGATTAACCTAACTATTTCTTTAAGTGACCGTTTATTTGTTTTGCTTGCAAGGTCACACTAGTGCTGAAAACAGCTGAAACAGGCAATAGCTGATATAAACTATATAGCTTAAATTTACCAAATAAACCCCTTTGTTTTCCTGTGAAAAAAAGAAAAGAAAACAAAAAAACAGAACAAAGCAAACTCAAAATCCACGATGCCGAGGCCAGTTTTATTTTATGAACTTTTATTGTGGTATTTGCCTTTACACAGGTCATGCTTTTTGCAGTACTCAGTACTCCACGGCTTTAGTAAACAATAATCATAATAATCGTAATCACAGGGCAGAAGGCAGAAGGCAAGCAGTAGGGAGCAGAGAGCATCGAGCGGAAAGCAGAAAGCATGGCAAACAATGAGCCGGAGAGTCGCTGGCCTTTTTGTGCTGCCTGTTTTTAGGCGCCGCTTCGCACGTGTTTGTTCGCACCTAGTCAGGCACACACACAGGGACACGGACACGTACACGGACACGCGGGCACAATTGCATTTACACACACAAGCACACACACATGCGGCTGGAGGAGAAGGTCCTTTTGTTGTCGTCCTGTCGCACTAAATTGCGCACAATTGAAAGCATACTTTCAGGCGCCCGAGCATTTAGTTCGGTGCAGCCCAGTGCCTCGAACACCCAGCATTTGAATGCCCTGCACTCGCAGCCGCTCCATCCTTCGTCCTTATTTATCGCACTTCTCGCCAGCCTCTTAGTCGCTTTCAAAATCCCCAAAGGACGTCTGTTGTTGCCCTTTTCACATTCTTTTTTTTGCTCTCTTCTCGGGGTATTTTTTTTTTATTTGGCGCAGTGTGTAAAAGGTTTTTTATTATTAAATATGGCAGTGAGCATTAAATATTTCTGGGCTGTCAGGGTTTCAGCTGCGAGATTACCTAGGGGAATGTTTGCCTTCGCCTTTACTTATCCACACATACACAACACAATTTTCGGTGGAAATTCTTGGGATTCTTGTGCGATGCCTTTAAACTTTTTGGCGAAAATTTAATTAATAGCCAGCCAGGCACCTTTGGGGATCTTCGTACAGTTTTCATGGAATTTTCGGAGCATTTTCGAAGCATTTTCACTTGCCAAAAGATTCCATAGCAGCGGCTAATTGACCTCAATTTTGCTAATCGATACTGCCTTAGCCAGGGCCTTTGTCTCTGGCAATAATTTCATTAGATTGGCCTCGTCTACCCGAAAATGTCTACTCTCTACGCAGCCTTAATTAGATTAATGAAAAATAGGATTAGGCCCCAGTCAAAGGAGAGAAGAGCCCAACCAAGCAGCTTAAATCAATTGTGCTACGTACTTATTTCTACTTTCGCCATCTTAAAGACGTTTCGCTTCTAGGGAGGTTTTTTCCGGTGGCCTTGGGGCCTTGAGGCAACCGCAGAAAGTCGCCCAGTCTTTGGCTTGAGTCCTCATTATGCGTCGCTTAGCTGCCATTTGCCAGAAATGGCCTCCAAGAAAACAAAATTTCCATAGCTGAACGGAAAAGTCGAAAAAATACTGGACGTGACACACACAACAAATTCACAGCTATTTTCCCAGCCACCGACCCACCCTCGCTTTTCATATTTTCAAATTAATTTCAGGGAATTTTTCCTGACTCCAGGGCAAGTTTGGTTCCGTTTTGACATAATCTATTATAAGAGCTCATAATAATTTTTGCGAAAGTTCGTTTTCTTTGTTTTGTTTTGTTTTTTCTATGGGGGGTTGGATGCTTTTAATTGTGGGCGTGTCGGGACTTAATGAGATCGCCCTAATAAGCCCAAAGCAATTTGAATGTCCGCCGGGGGAGTGATTTCAAAAGTGGAAAAATATTAATTAGTATTTGCATAAGGATCTCTCGGTGAAATGTGTGCCAATACGTCAGCCCCAATAAATCAAGGAGCATTTCTGCAAAAAGTTACATACCTTCCAAGGCTGTCCCAAACACATACGAACTCATAACTCCTGACAGTGACTTATTACAGCATTTATATTCGTGTGTGTATATGGTTCGTCATAAATTTTATAGAACCAGATTCCGCCGGTAAGCTGGCAGCTGGGGCTAAAGGTTAAACCAGCTAACTATGGAATGTGTGGCCTCAGGTGTTTCCTATTATTAAAGATCCTGCGAAACACGAAAATTGAAAACTAGAAAAGCTTGGCCATTCTGTAACCCAATTAGATGGAATATTCAAACTTACCTTATGTTTCAAAATTCTAATTTATTCTGCTCTCTCTTGCCAGGGACCTTAAACAATATATATATATTTTTTTTCTTTGACCATTCCCAACCATTTCTCTCTGAAAATTAACCCAGCCTTTACTCATCCATATTCATGCATTTTTTCCGCACTCTTTGTAACACTTCCATAAATTTCAACCATTTTTCTGAATTATTTTTCGGCACTAGATATTTCTAAATATTTACGTAGCAATATTTTTCAATATTTTGCCAACGAAAACTAAGTCTATTGTTGGCATATTTTGCCAATTTCAGTTGTTCAACTGAGCTTTAACGTACTTCAGCCTCTCTACACCACCCCCTTTCGATGCTCCTAATGCTTTTAGCTAAAAATTTTTCCAGTTTTTCGGTGCCAAAAAATGCAAATTTAAAATGCGTTGGCATGTCAAAAATCCACACAGGGTGCAGCTTGGCAGACAGGCGGCCACAGGGGGTGAAGAAAATCGATAAACGAGACAAGTGTGTGTGTTGTGTGTACGAGTGTGTGTGTGTGAGTATCTGTGGGGTAAGCTTTTAGTATCTTTTGCAATGCAACTGCCATACACGAAATTTGGCAAACTCACAATGCCGAGAAGCGGGAGGAATAAACAGACACACAGAGAGAAAGAGAGAAGAGGCGATAAAAGAGAGCCAACAACAAATAGCTTAATAGGAAATAGCATAAAAGCATCCACCCCCCCAATTCAGTCTCCCCCTCCCTTCTTGGCGCACCCCATATCACCAGCGTGGAAAAAAGCAAAAGAAAAGGAAAATCTTTGCACGTATCGCACTCAAAAAATCAGTAAACGCATTGGCATCTCTCCTCCAAGACGTTATTGTTGTTGTTCTCGTTGTGGCTGTTTTGCAAGGGTTGACTCATGGGTTAAGGGAAGGCGCTGTTGAGGGGGTTAAGGTTTTTCTTTTTTTTCGTGGGGTTTTTCTGCAGCTTATCGGAGAGCCCGCGCCCCTCGCCGCCATCGCTGTCCTCGTCGTCGTCATCTCCTCCGAATATTTGGCATTAGTCAAATGCAAATTTTTATAGCTGCCTGTCTGTTTACTTGAAGCGCCGATAAGCCCGCGCATAAGCATATACGCCAAATGGATTCGGGATGTGCCAGGATGGGAAAAGGAAAAAGGGGGTCTCTCTCCCCGCACACCCCTTTGCCCCGATGAAAGCGTCATTGAAAAATTCCTTAAATTTCCAATAAAATCAACTGTGCAAAATGTGACGGTTTAGAGATAGAACTCCGAGGAAAAGAGGTCAATTCGGAGTCAATAGAGTAGTAATAACGGTTAATATTGATAATAAAAATAATAATAGTAATAATTTATTATTACTATTTTCTAATAATAACAATAATGATGATAAGAATAATAATATCAATAATAAAAATAGGAATAATAACAAAGACAATCATAGTTATAACTATAGTTGAATGTAATTTAATTCAATTTGCTTTTATGTGGGAATTTATATTTCTTGATAACGTTTTTCATTTAAAGTATACAATATAAGCTTTAAATGTTTCTAAAATTTGAACTAATGTACTCTAAAGGATAAAAATAATTTCTTGCAGTTAGAAGTACTCTTAAAATTTGTTTAAAAATAGTTTATAGCTCATAAAAAATATATTAAAATAATAAACTTAGGTGTCAATTCATTTTGCTGAAAGGTTTCTAATGCCTATCAATAGTTAATTCAAAAAATACAAAACAATTTCTAAATATTATAAGACTTTTGTATATTATTTTCCAATTACATTTTTAACTGGAAAAGTCATCTGCTGTATTGATATAATTTTTTAATATTGAAATATATTTAAAAACAATTTCGAGTTCACATTCACTCACACTTCTTGATGATTTTTTTTATTCCAAAATATACACAATATATATTATTTATATGATATATTTTATTCTTTCTTGTTTATAATATTTTCCAACCAATTGTTAAATTGTTGATGATGATGATTCCAAACGACACAGATATATATTATTTCTATATTTTAGATGATGCTCGACTTTCTTATAATCCAA